TACAGGTCTTCTAGATGAGCACTGTCCAAAAGAAATGTAATGTCGCCACATATGTAATTTTAAATTTTCTAATAGCTACAATCAATGAGGAAAAAAGAAACAGGTGAAATTAATTGTAATAATATGTTTTATTTAAGCCCAAATATCCAAATAGCATTTTAACATGTAATCAACATAAAATTATTCATTTTATTTTATTTATTTATTTATTTTTGGAAACAGAGTCTCATTCTGTCATGCAGGCTAGAGCGCAGTGGTGCAATCTTGGCTCACTGCAACCTCCACCTCCTGGGTTCAAGCAATTCTCGTGCCTCAGCCTCCCAAGTAGCTGGAATTAAAGGTGTGCACCACCACACCTGGCTAATTTTTTGTAATTTTAGTAGAGACAGGGTTTCACCATGTTGCCCAGGCTGGTCTCGAACTCCTGAGCTCAGGCAATCCACCCTCCTTGGCCTCCCAAAATGCTAGGATTACAGGTATGAGCCACCAAGCCTAGCCTGTAATCAACATAAAATTATGAATAAAATATTTTACATTATTGTTTTCATTTTAAGTCTTTGAATATCAGTGTGAACTTTACACCTCCTGGCAAACCTCACTTTAGACTAACCACATTTCAAGAGTACAATAGCCACTTGTGGCTCTAGTGGCTATCATATCAACAGCAAAGTTCTAGATCCTCACCAATTTTTTTCCTTTTATTTTATTCCATCAATTGCTTAAAGAGCCATGTTAAAATCTTCAACTGTGATTATGGATTTGCCTATTTATCCCTTTATTTTTGTCAGTTTTGCCTCATTTATTTGGTACATATGCAATCAAGTAGACTTCATCCCTGGAATGCAATGTTAGTTCAACAGACACAAATCAATAAATGGGATTCATCATGTAACAGAACTAAAGACAAAAACCACATGATTATCTCAATAGATGCAGAAAATGCTTTCAATAAAATGACACATCCATTCACGTTTAAAAAAAAAAAAACTCTCAATAAACTAGGTATTGAGGAACATACCTCAAAATAATAAGAGCCATCAATGGCAAACCCACAGCTAACATCATATTGACTGGGCAAAAGCCAGAAGCATTCCCCTTGAAAACTGACACAAGACAAGGATGCCCTCTCTCACTACTCCTATTCAACATAGTATTGGAAGTTCTGGCCAGGGCAATTAGGCAAGAGAAAGAAATAAAGGGCATCTAAATAAAAAGAGAGGAAGTCAAACTATCCCTGTTTGTAGATGACATGATCCTATTTGACAAAGCCCCGTAGTCTCAGCCCAAAAGCTTCTTAAGCCGATTAACAACTTCAGCAAAGTCTCAGGATACAAAATCAATGTGCAAAAATCACTGCTTGATCGTGGTGAATAGGCTTTTTGATGTGCTGCTGGATTTGGTTTGCCAGAATTTTGTTGAGGATTTTTGCATCATTGTTCTTCAAGGATATTGGCCTGAAGTTTTCTTATTTTGTTGTGTCTCTGCCAGATCTTGGTATCAAGATGATGTTGGCCTCATAGAATTAGTTAGGGAGGAGTCCCTCCTCCTCAGTTACATCCAAATATGGCACAGGAGAACCAAGATATGCCCTAGTGGATCTTCTGAGCCCCAGACATAGTTATCCATGCCTCCATTAGTAAAAAGAACTGTTGTCTTCTTGAATCTTCTCTAAAGGGTTACTAGAATAAGATCTCATCTTTGCCTGCTGTTCCAACAGCACAAGACCCCCCAGATGATCAGATGGCAGCCATATTTTAAGTTCAGTGAGTTACTGGGTCCTTTGGTAGATATGTTCTCTACCATCATCCTCCATGCCTCTGTCCCTAGAAGCCAGATCCTTCAGACCAACCCAACTTAGTGTTGCAGGGACTGGAAACACAAATACCTCTAGTGGCTCACCGGGAGTGATGCTGAGAGATGCCACAACTGTTTCCAATACTTCGTTTCTGGAACCATATACTCTACCTATTGAGGACCTACCATAAAATGGCCATTGGTTTCAAGTCGTGGTAACAAACAACGACCCCTTGTTCAAGAAGCAGGAAAAAGGTGCCTTTAAAAGTAGTAAAGTCTGGACGCGGTGGCTCACGCCTGTAATCCCAGCACTCTGGGAGGCCAAGGCGGGTGGGTCACCTGAGGTCAGGAGTTCAAGACCAGCCTGGCCAACATGGCGAAACCCCGTCTCTACTAAAAGTACAAAAATTACCTAGGCATGGTGGCAGGTGCCTGTAATCCCAGCTACTCAGTAGGCTGAGGCAGGAGAATTGCTGGAACCCGGGAGGCAGAGGTTGCGGTGAGCCAAGATCATGTCGCTGCACACTAGCCTGAATGACAGAGCTAGACTCCATCTTAGAATAAATAAATGAATGAATAAATAGATACGTTTTTTTAAAAATACAAAAAATAAATAAATCTTATTGGAATTTGTTGGCTTGAGGTCTCTGGAAGCAGTTTGGGTCTCTGGCCAGAAACCAACCAATTCGGCAATTGTGGTATGTCTGGTGCCCCAGTGTCAGGAGAACAGAGAGAGTAAAAGAACAATGGGGTTTGGTTCCATTCTCTTAGAGCTACAGCTGCACAGAATTAACAGGGAATTCCCCTACTCCAGTGATTTGGGTTTTGCTGACTGCTTTTGCTGCTGCCATCACCCCTGCCAGAGGGTTTTTTATGGACCAGGGCATGAGAGAATGGAGAAGAAGTAGAACAAAAATATGTGGAGTTTTTATCTGTGGCATTTTTCTGTTTGGCCCCTGGATTCAGAACTAGAAAGTTTCCCTCAATGTTTCTCCGTCTCTACTCGGCTCTCATTTCTGGGGTTTGAGCTGCTTAGAGTTCACGCAGGGGAATCCTAGAGGGAAAAATAAAGGTAAATTCATCACCAGTTTGGTGGTATTCTCATATCAAATTCTGATGTTCTTCCCTCATAATCCTGCTGATGTTTACCTGTTGGAGGTTTTAAACAGCTGCCCATGCGTTTGTCCAGATTTTGTCGTTGTATTTAGTGTAAGAGAAAAGTAGGCATGTGTTTGCTCCGTGTTATCTGGAACTAGAACCCTTCTCTTAACATCATAACTTCAAAATATAGAAAGCAAAGCTTACCAGAACTAAAAGGGAGAATAGAAACTTTTAAAATTATAGTTGGAAACCTTAATACCCTCCTCTGAACAAGTGTTAGACAAACATTTAGTAAAAATAAAAGATAGAGATGATATAATTAGTTGACTACTCTATTTTTACTTACACAGGGCGCTACATCCAGCAACCACAGAATGCACACTCATTTCAAGTGCACATGTAAGATAAAAAGCAAATTCCAGGCTGGGAAAAGATAGTTACAAAGTATGTATCAGATAAGGAATTCATATCCAGAATATATAAAGTAATCCTAAAAAGTAGTTAGGAGGCCGAGGTGGGTGGCTCACCTGAGGTCCGGAGTTCGAGACCAGCCTGACCAACGTGGAGAAACCCCATCTCCACTAAAAATACAAAAATAGCCAAGCATGGTCACGCATGCCTGTAATCCCAGCTACTCGGGAAGCTAGGCAGGAGAATCACTTCAACCTGGGAGGCAGAGGTTGCGGTGAGCTGAGATCATGCCATTGCACTCCAGCCTGGGCAACAAAAGCAAAAACTCCATCTCAAAAAAAAAAAAAAAAAAAAAAAAAGGAAAAGGAAAACAAAGAAAAGAAAAAGAAACCACTAAAAATTGGTAAAAGATTTTAAAGGCACAAAGCAAAAGAAGATATCCAAATGGCCAATAACTAAAACTAAGACTAATAACGAAATAAATAAAACTAATAACTAAAACTAAGACTGACAATAGCAACTGTTGGAGAAGTATGAAGCAACTGGAACTCTTCATACTTTGTTAGTAAGAGTGTAAACTGGTAAGATCACATAGGAAAACTTTTTGGTAGTTTCTTTTTTTTAATTTTTATTTATTTTTAAATATATATATATTTTTTTGAGACAGAATTTAGCTCTTGTTGCCCAGGCTGGAGTGCAATGGCATGATCTTGGCTCACTGCAACCTCCACCTCCCAGGTTCAAGTGATTCTCCTGCCTCAGCCTCCCAAGTCACTGGGATTACAGGCATGCGTTACTACACTCAGCTAATTTTTGTATTATTAGTAGAGACGGGTTTCACCATGTTAACCAGGCTGGTCTCGAACTCCTGACCTCGTGTTCTGCCTGCCTCAGCCTCCCAAAGTGCTGAGATTACAGGCGTGAGCCACCACGTCGGCCTTTAAAAATTTTTTTTGAGATGGACCTCATTCTGTCACCCAGGCTGGAGTGTAGCAGCGTGATCTCGGCTCACTGCAACCTCCACCTCCCAGGTTCAAGCAATTCTCCTGCCTCAGCCTCCTGAGTAGGTGGGATTACAGGTGCGCACCACCATGCCTGGCTAATTTTTTATATTTTCAGTAGAGACGGGATTTCACCAAGTTAGCCAGGATGGTCTCGATCTCTTGACCTTGTGATCCACCCACAATGAACAAGGAGAACACATGGACACAGGGAGGGGAACATCACACACTGGGGCCTGTGGGGGTTGGGGGGCTAAAGGAGGGATAACATTAGGAGAAATACCTAATGTAGGTGATGGGTTGATGGGTGCAGCAAACCCCCATGGCACATGTATACCTATGTAACAAAACTGCACGTTCTGCACAGGTACCCCAGAACTTAAAGTATAATATAAAAAAAAAAAAGAAAGAAAATGTGGTGCATATACACCATGGAATACTATGCAGCTATAAAAAAAAGAGAACAAAATCATGTCCTTTGCTGCAACATGGATACAGCTGGAGGCCATAATTCTAAGAGAACTAATGCAGAAAGAGAAAAGCAAATACTGCATGGTCTCACTTATAAGCAAGAGCTAAACATTGGGTACACATGGACATAAAGATGGGAACAAGAGACACACGGGACTATAAGAGGGGGAAGTAGGGAGGAGCTCAAGGGTTGAAAAACTACCTATTGGGTACTATGCTCACCACCTAGATGACGGGTTCAGTTGTACTCCAAACCTCAGCATCACGCAATGTACCCTTGTACAAGTCTGCACAAGTACCCACTTAATCTAAAATGAAAGTTGAAGAAAAAAAGCACATTAGGTTAATTAAGAAGAGAATGGAGAAAGTCAGAGGGCAGGTCTTAGCATGGTAGAAAATTTTAAACAGCAATTAAGAAATAAGGTGCTTGGCCAGGTGCGGTGGCTCACTCCTGTAATCCCAGCACTTTGGGAGGCCGAGGTGGGTGGATCACCTGAGGTCAGGAGTTTGAGACCAGCCTGGCCAACATGGTGAAACCCCAGCTCTACTCCAAATAGAACAACAACAACAACAAAGAAAAAACACCTGGGCGTGGTGGCGCGTGCCTATAGTCCCGGCTACCTGGGGCTGAGGCAGGAGAATCACTTGAACCCGGGAGATGGAGGTTGCAATGAGCCGAGATCACGCCATTGGACTCCAGCCTGGGCAACAAGAGTGAAGCTCTGTCTCAAAAAAAAAAAAAAAGAAAAAAGAAAGAAAGAAAGAAAGTGTGTAAAGCAAATATTGACAGAAGCAAAACAAAGAAGAAAAAGAAAGAGGAGAGTCGTGGGACTTGTCCCAGCAGGGTGGAAAGCTTTAGATGGGTATTAAGAAATGGGATGAATAAAATGGATAGTGATGGATTAAAACAAAGGATTTAACACAGCACTACCAAAGGTTGAGCAGGCCCAAGGGACCCCCTGCTGGTCCCTCAGCATTAAAGGGTTCCAAACAAGCCTACTCTATTTACTCCAGTTTGGAGACATTTAAAAAGCCAAAGGCAAAGTTTATCACGAGAAACCTGACCAGCAATCGCTGTGACAGTTGTTAGCAGGTTCATCAAGATGAAGATTGACAAAAGGGTCACAGTCCCTTGGCTCTACCCCTCCTCAGTGGGGACCCAAAGCCTTATGTACATCAGTAGGTAAAATGGTCGAGAGGAGTGGGGTGAGGAGAAAAGGTTACTGGGACTCAATACAGGAACCCCCAGCACTGCAGTACCAAAACCTATTGATGAAGCCCTGAGGCAGGCTGCAGTTAGAATGAGGGAACAGTAAAAAGTAAGGGTTGATAGGATCATGAAAGGTGGAACGCTTCAACAGACTTTAGGTAAAGAAGCTGTGTGTCCTTTACCTGAATGTTTTATGGGAATGGATATTACATCCGTCTGGGGAACACCTTTTCTTTTTGAGATGGAGTCTCACCCTGTTGCCCAAGCTGGAGTGCAGTGGCACGATCTCGGCTCACTGCAACCTCTGCCTCACAGGTTCAAACGATTCTCCTGCCTCAGCCTCCCCAGTAGCTAGGATTACAGGTGTGCGCCACCACACCCAGCTAATTTTTGTATTTTTAGTAGAGACGGGGTTTCACTGTGTTGGCCAGGCTAATCTCAAACTACTGACCTCAGGTGATCCGCCCACCTCAACCTCCCGAAGTGCTGGGATTACAGGCGTGAGCCACCACACCCGGCCTAACACTTCTTAATACCTAGTATTGTAACACCCAAACCTGTTAATTAAGTCCTAATGGAGGCCACAGCTAGGAATGTAGTGGTTGACGGAATTAAAGTCTGTAGGCGAATTGGTGTTTTTCAGGAGGCTTCATGAGAAGTGCTTGCGTGTGTCTCTTACCTGATTGTGTTATGGGAATGGATATTGTGTACGCCTGGGAATGTTTCCCCTACCTAGTGTTGTAAAACAGAAGGCATCACAGCGCACAGCACTTCACTCATCAGTGTGGAGGGTGTTCTTAGAGGTCACCGGGGTGGAAGCTGAGGCTTCCTCCCCTTGCTTCCCCTGCACCACGCTGCAGAGACCAAACACCTGTTTCTTATTAGGTCACAGTTCTCTCAGCAGGTGAGGCATTAACGGCCAAGAAAAAGAAAGGATGAGAATATAATCATGAATAAGTCTAGCAAGGGAAATATTTTTAGGTGTTTTTATTTTTTTTTTGTTGTTTGTTTTTTGGTTTTTTTTTTTTTTGGTTTTTTTTGTTTTTGCTTTGGAAACTGTTAGTCCAAACTGCACCGTTTTGTAAAACCCCCAGCCATTTTGCAGACCTTGGTCAAAGTGCAACATTCCACAGGGATTCGGGCACACCTGCCCAACCGCCTGACTCTCTTATTCTATTCTGCTGGAAGGAAGTGTAAGGAACCTCACACTGCATCGGAACACCGAACTGCCTAATCACGGGAATACATTATGAACGTTTTCCCAGGCAGCAGGCCGTGCCCCCTGTTCCAGACCCCTCCCGCCCAGCCTATAGTTGCCCCAGCCTGTAAGCGGCGGTGGACACTGGCGTTAACCTGGTCCCCCACCTCTGCAGGTCTTATGCTGGACATAAAGCCTGCATTCGCTGTAGAGCCACTACTCTCTCTGTGTCTTTCTTTAACCCTTGCCTTCCCTTAAAACCTAACAAAAACTATCTATAAGACAATTTTTCCTCATCCTCCAGTAAGAACCTAAGTTTTGTTTGTTTTGGTTTGGTTTTGGGGTTTTTTGTTTGTTTGAGACAAGGTTTTACTTTGTTGTCCAGGCTGAAGTGAAGTGGTGCAATCATGACACTGCAGCCTCGACCTCCCCGGGCTCAGGTGATTCTCCCCGATCAAACCTCCTAAGTAGCTGGGACTGCAGGCGTTGTGATACCATGCCTGGGTAATTTTTGTATTTTTTGTAGAGATAGGGTTTTGCCATGTTGCCCAGGCTGATCTTGAACTCCTGGGCTCAAGCAATCCTTCTGTGTTGCCCTCCCAAAGTGCTGGGATTACAGGCCTGAGCCACCACACCTGGCCTAAGAACCTGGTTTTTGGACAACTATAAAAGTGCTATTTTACATAATAGGATGTAGACACGTAATAATTCATAATGCCTGAAGGGGGCACAGGCAAAAAATATAAAGGAAATGGAGAATGACTGGATATCATATCTAATGGTGCCACATTTGTGTCTAACATCTTCGACATGGTTCTCAGCAACTCTCTGGGAATCAGCTGTTGAGCTAGATGGAGATGGGAAGAGGACAAAGACGGAGATAGTTCGCTGGGTGAAGTGGTTCACGTCTGAAATCCCAGCACTTTGGGAGGCCAAGGCAGATGGATCACCTAAGGTCAGGAGTTTGAGACCAGCCTGATCAACATGGAGAAACCCCGTCTCTACAAAAAATAAAAAAAAAAAATGAGCTGGGCATGGTGGCACATGTCTGTAATCCCAGCTACTCGGGATGCTGAGGCAGGAGAACCGCTTGAACCCAGGAGGCAGAGGTTGTGGTGAGCTGAGATTCCGCCACTGCACTCCAGCCTAGGCAACAAGAGCGAAATTCCATTAAAAAAAAAAAAAAGACTTGGATAGTTGTAATATATCTAATTATTAATTCTAACAGGCTGTGGAGAAGTTTGGCCTGAAAATCATTAGGTATAATGAAGTTTGTGTATTATATCCAGATTGTTCTTACCATGTTGTTAAGTCACAGATGAAAACAAGCAATGTTTGAAGTATATTCCCAACCTCCAGATGTACCTAATCCTGGTGAAGCCGATGCTGTTAGCACCCTCCCATATCCGTGGGCCTTTTAGAATTTTCAGTTGATTTCCAACTGCCAGTATGTGTACCTCTGTGCCTGCAGCCCCTTTTCCTTGGAAATACGTGTTGCCTATTTGCAAGGCAAACCAGAGTAGCACAGAATTGATACCCCCCAAAGCCCTACAGTCAGATCCCTCAACCAACGGCTCTCAGGAGTTGATGTATAAATGCCCCAGCTCCTTGTACCTTGGGCAGAATAATTCTGTGGTGTGGGTTTTGCACCGTTCCTAGCAGTCTTCCTGCAAGGTTGAGCTCAAGTACCCACTGTGGTAGCTGGCTTGATGACACGTTTTATTGGCTGTCCTCCTGTCCCTGTATCATCCAGCCACCTCATACCAGCGTTCCAAAATAAACTACCCACACTGGAATCCTTGCCTCAAGTTCTGCTTCTGGGGAATCAAACTAAGACAACTTGAATGTGAGGTCTCCCACAGGACATCTCTTGGCTTCCTAGTCATAAAGAGAACACTGGGGGAATGCATTCAGGGAACACGTGAGCGTACTATTTCTTGTTTTTCAAATTACCTGAAAGTGATGTCATCTAGATGTACTTTATTGTTTCAGTAATGACACTGAAGGGGCTAGTGATTAGATGAAATTGATGCATATGAGGGAAAGCCCAAAATAAGTTATTCCTGAGCAAATTGAACATTTGAAGGGCATCCTGGATGGCCCACACGCAGGGAGGATAATAAAAATATTTAACACCTGGTACAGCATGGGCCTCAACCAGTCATACAAGCTGCCGGCCTACCTGCTGAGAGGCTGCCACACAAACTGACCATTGGCCTGCCCGGTGAAACAAGGATTCCTGGTTCTGCCTGGGTCAAGTCTTCAGGCTGGGTTGAGAGGTCAGCGGGCAAAGAAGGATTTACTTGGCTTTCTCCAAGGGGGCTCCGAGGCAGGTGCGTCTGATTTTTATTCCTTCTCAGAAACAGAAGTGACGGACTGAAACATTCACTGAACATCTCCAAAGGGAGTTAAAGGCCCAGCAGGGCCACATCGTCACGCGTCCACTTTACACTCCGACATGTTATCACTTGTGTCCTCTCCTGACTATGGAAGTTAAGGCCACAAACAGCACACAGTTTCCTTCCAGAGAGTTGTCTCTTCTCCGTTGTGGGTAGTGTGAGCAAGACCAAGGTAGCAAAATAGCCAAGGGGTAGGTGTATATGTGACCAAGATACATAGCTCTGAGCCTCTCCTGGCACTGGGAAAGTGACGCAGAATGATGATGTAATCAGAAAAGGTGTTTGGAGTACATGTATGAGGATATTGGTGAGGGTGCTAATTCATTCACTTACTGGGGATGCTGTTAAGTATGGTTAACCCGTTCCTGCTACCCAGACCCCAGAGTTGCGGTGTCTCTTCATCTCCTTGACCTTCTCAGTTGGTTCTGTTAGCCTTCCAGTAATTTCTTTGTATTGCTTAAAATTTCTATAAGTGGTTACTTTTGCTTGCAACCAAAGAACCATAATTGATTTGGGTCCTACACGCTTATCTTCAGCCATGTTTTGTGAGGGGTGGACCCCGTGAAAGAAAGTGTGTGGCAGCAACTCCTGAAAATGAGAAAAGCCAGTCCCTGGATCTTCACACACAAAAGGAAACACAGGAGGTTGCTGTGGGTTTGAAGGACTTGGTGTATGTAACTTGAATGACAGCTTCACCTCAGTTGGCTCTCAGTTTCCTATGCAGCTAGAATTCCATCCCTATTTCCTCCATTGTCCCATGGGTTGGCTGGCCTACGAGTCAGGAACTTCTAAGCAAAGCCCAAGTGGTTTGGGCAGATACTGGGGAAAGGACAAAGGCTCGGGTCAGGCTTACTTAACTTGTTAGCAATTCTGGTAGACATGGAGTAGGTGGGCATTGGAATCATGGGCTAAAAATGAAGCCTGGCTGGAATATGTAGGGGCCACTTGTCATGATATTCACATTTACTACAAAGTAATTACATATGTCCGTTTCCTGGGAAGCATATTGTGAACTGGATGGATTTCTTTTATTTTTCTTTCCTTTTTTCAATTCTTATTTTCATTCAGAAAATTGGGAAATGAATTTTCTTTCATGATTTTAATCATTTCTTTGCCAGTGTTGAATACAGCACATTCATATAAAACTCTCAAAGGCGGCCATCTGAGCGCTCTGCCAGCCTGGCCCACCCACAGAGCTTTGCCTAGAAGCTTTGTCTTTTATAGAACTTAGCTCGGGCAATGATATCATTGACGAAGTCATTGTCTATGTCCGCTGGGGTGGCAATCGCTTCAACTCCTGACTTGAAAGCTGAGAGACCACCTGAAATGAAACACAGAGTGAGGCTCAAATATTAACTCTCAGTAGAAATAAGCAATGAGCATGGCCAAGATGTTAGCTCTCCAGGCAAATCTTCCACAGCAGGCAATCCCAAATCCTCCTCCCTCTCTCTCCCTTTCTGAAAGGACACGCTACCCCAAGAATCACTGGGAAAATTCCAGATTGCTTTCTTTCTCTTTTTCCAAAGTCTTTGGTTTTTCTTGTTGCAAAAATCAGATTTGCTTTTTTATGTAATCCAGGCCTGGCAGAACTAGACCCCCAGTACATCCTCTGCTGAAAATGCTTGTAACATTCTCTCATTTATACAATAATTCACTCATCTATTCACTCATTTATTCATTCAGGAAATGTTTTCAAGCACCTACTATGTGCCAGGAGAGATCCCACACTAACTACAAGGTACCCAAGACACACTTATTTATTTGGGTACATGTACATATGCGTGTGTATGCTATTTTACCCTAGAATTTTATCTTTAGTAGTTATGTATGTGTTTAACATAATTGCGCTCTGCTGTGATATCCAGAGAAAAAGATGCCTGGTCCCGATCCCTGCCTTCAAGGACCTTGAAGTCGAGAGTAGAATCTGTTCTGATTAAGGCCATTAGAGTGTGGAGAACATAACATGGGCCGATAGGAGGTAAACCTAACAGGAATTGATGTGGTTGGGTGTGAAGAGAGAAGGAACCAGAGAGCCTAAGAGAGCAATCTGGTTTTCAGTCTGGGATGACTGGCTATGTTATGGTGCCTCCAAGACATGTAAAATGCAGAAGAAAGAGCAAATTTATAGTTGGAGGTTAGTGAGTTAATTCCATCTGGGAGATGCTGAACTTGAGGGGGTCTGTGATCAGCCGAGCAGCGATTTCCACTTGGATACATAGCACCTGAAGTCCTGAGAATACTCACAGAGTAAAATCATTCAGACAATTTGGAAAGTTGTGGACAGTTTCTTATAACAGGAAAAAACCTATGAGAGGTAGGCAAACATATATATACACACATATATATATATATGTTTGGTTTTTTTTTTTTTTTTTTGAGAGATGGGGTCTCACTCTGTCTCTCAGGCTGGAGTGCAGTGATGTAATCAATGCTCACTGCAGCCTCAACCTCCCAGGCACAAGCAATCCTCCTGGCTCAGCCTCCTGAGTAGCTGGGACTGGAGTGTGTCACCATGCCCAGCTACTTTTTTTTTTTTTTTTTGTAGAAACAGGTGTCACTATGTTTCAAGGTATCACTCAATAGCTCAATAAGCAATTAATAAGAACCCCAGTGTTCTGCAGAGGGGAAATGGAGGTTGAGGATGGAGGACCACTCAAAGTAACTCTGTGGTTCAGAGAGTGCGAATGCAGCCTCTAGACAGCTCCTCCCAGGGCCACTGCTGACCCCATGGAAATGCTCCCAAGGAGTCTCGGGTCACACTGGCCTTGAGTGGTCTTATTCATTGCTCATTTAAACAAAGTGCTCAGAATACAGCCTACCTCTGAGGTGCTGAGCAGCACTCCACGTGGGGAATTTTTTCTGGATTGCCTTAATTCTCTCTGTTAGAATTCCAGTAGCCTGTGAAAGATGCTCTTTGCTGTCCCAGGCACCAACAGGGTGGTACGCTTGTTTATCAAGCTAGAAAATTCAGATAATAAAGTCAGCATCTGGATGAGGTAACACATTTTTCTGCCATTCCTAATTTCCTCTCCTGGTATTCAAGTCATAGATACCGGCCTTTATCCCCAGAGAGTCAATTCTATTGTTCTTTCTTTCATAGAGGTGAGAGTCAGAGAAACAAAGTAAGGTTTGGGAGAAATGGACATGGCATAGTTTTAGCTAAACAGTCTAATATACAAAAAAAAAAAAAAGTTAAAGTTGTTTTGAAACAAATAACACCTGAAGTCTACACATTTATAGTAAGAAATAATTATCTAGCTAATTCAGACAAAAATTTGTTTCTAACTGGGAAGGCCAGAAGTCTGTATTTCGGCAGACAATTTAAAATCGAGCCTGGAAGCAAATATCCAGATAATTTGGATCCCCTTCCTCCAGTTTACCCAAAGGAACAAGTTGTTTCAAGTAGGGCTCAATTATACCATGTTTTGATCCACATGGATGAAATGTACTACTTCACAAACCCCAAGAGGACACCTGTAATAACAGTGCTATTTATAAGATTTTCTCAGTTTTAGTGTATTACATATTATTTATCACAAATAGGTAGTTATAAAACTCCTAAAATACTTTTTAAAGGATATCTAATAATGAATAAGCCTTGAATGACATAAAAAGATGTGTTGCAGAAATCCCAGATCAAATTATGCTGGAGTGGCCGGGCGCAGTGGCTCACGCTTGTAATCCCAGCACTTTGGGAGACTGAGGCGGGCAGATCACCTGAGGTCAGGAGTTCAAGACCAGCCTGGCCAACAAGGTGAAATCCTGTCTCTACTAAAAATACGAAAAATTAGCTAGGCATGGTGGCATGTGCTTGTAATCCCAGCTACTCAGGAGGCTGAGGCAGGAGAATCACTTTAACCCGGGAGTGGAGGTTGCAATGAGCCGTGATCACGCCATTGCACTCCAGCCTGGGCAACAAGAGTGAACTCCATCCCCCAAAAAAAAGAAAAGAAAAAAATTATGCTGAAGTACCTGTAGCCAGATGCCAGGGTATTCTGGGGTTTGGAAGCACTGCAAATGGATTTCTAGTTGAGGTTGAGCTTCTGTGAGGAGGGATGAAGTGGGGCTGATAGAAAGTTTCTAGCTAAATACCTGCATCAAGCCAAATTTAAGCCCCCTGTGGTCCCAGCCATCTTGCAGGACAGATCCGCCATGACTTTCCCTGGAGATGATGGC